CTCAATACCCGCCCAACTATAACGGCACCAAAGAGGAGATCATTACAATCGATGGCAAACAATACGTCAAGAAAGAGCATGTGATCAAGAAGTCCGGAGATAACCTAAACGTACGCTTATTTCGACAATTTTATAACTTTGAAATTATAAATTGAAAATGATTTCCAGATATTCCTCACGACAACCACTTATGAACCGATTGACGAGAAGAGTAATGAGAGTTAAGTCCCCAAACCTGGGAACCACTTCTCACGCGTGGACTCAGTTTCGATCATATTTATAATGCAAATATTTATACTAACTTTACTATTGATTTAATGGCTATTTTATAAGTTAATAATATCTTTAGATTGAATGCAATCTTTAAAAATTAATTACAGTATAAAGTTATGAAAACTAATACTACTTATAATTGTATTTGTGCTGTAATCGACATTATAATCATTTATTTAAATAAAATGTAAAATTGTTTATAATATTTAATTATGAAATCTATAAAATTAATCAAATATTAAGCGAATCAATGGTCACGATATGGAAGGAATGGGCGGAATATTAAGCTCTCGTCTCAAATCGTCGACGTTTTGCTCAAACCTTTTCTCGTAATAAACATTCATTAATAGTTTGGATTCGTGTCCACAGCGAAGAGCCCACGGAAGGCATGTGTTTACGTAGTTTTTGCGCTGTTTGGGCGCCAAACGGGTGGCACCGAACACACCGCCCAACCAACACATGGGTAGGTCTGTCTGAATGGCTTCAACCCATTTGACCACTACTTCGCCCAACATATTGGTGGGCATTCCGAGCAACGCGTGCACCATATCGTGGGTCTCGCGATACCGTTGCATAACTTCGGCCAAACGTATGTCGTCTACAAACTTGACGGCCATTCGCGAGTCGGGCGTCACTCTCTGGTCAATACAAAAACAGTCAATCACTTGATTGGCTCTCAAATTGATCGCTCAATTCAAAAAACAAAATACATTATTCTTTAAGAAATTATAGTATTGCCGACCAAACGTCGTCTCCGCCAGTGTTCCCAGCCTTTCGATGTCGATAGTGGTTGAGTTGATCCGCGGTTTATCTTCGAGTATCTGTTGGCCTTCGCTGTCTCTCCTCATCCGGTCGTACAGTTTCTCGAGAGCCAAATGACCGGTTGTTTCGCCAAACACTGCCACCATATCTGGTCGTTGAAGAAGTGGAAAACATTACGGATTAGATCCAAAGACAGACAAAGTGTGACAAAGAGTGGCAAACCGTGTCGATAGGGATCAGTGATGGAAGCGATACCCGATCCCAACGATAGCAACACTTTCTGTGTGATTGTGGTCGGGATGTGTGTGTCGTACAAATGGATCAGCGGTTCCTCATATCGACCATCCTTTGGGTCCCAATCGTCGGAAGACTCGTCCGAATGGACATCCGTTGCCATAAATCGGCGACAATTGATGGCAAAGCCGTGCCTTCGGGTCAGACACCGGCCGACAGACAGTAATCGCAATACTTTTGCAGACATTTCACTCACAATTGGCCACAAATCGGGGGACAAAACAATAGTCTCGCAAACGGTTAACGCATTTAATACACAAAACAAATGAATTAATTAAATGATAACAAAATTAAAGCCAAACAAAAAACAGACAATTGTTTTGAAAGCGCAGCCAATGAGAGGACTGAAGGGCTGATTGAGTGACGCAATCACTCGTTGACTGCTTTGAGTGTTTTGTTTGTATTGTTTTTGTGTCGTATTATATGTGCTGTCATTGAGTGACAGACAGACAGACAGTGAATGTGTTTTGGTTTGCCTTCAATGCCAACGCCTGACCAACACTTCCCACACATCACTCACACACATGTCATCCGAAGACAATTCACCGATTAGTCAATGATCACCGCATCGGTCGCTGTTGTAGTGTGTCTTACGTAGGGATCAGTTGTCTGTATGGATAGCAGTGTTTTGATTGTGTTTTTGAGTCTATTTTTGTCTCATTTGTATTGCATTTAAATTACTTATCAATTTGTGACCAAATCTTAAAGTCGATGACATTATAGCGTTGTTTGTGTCAATCGGTGGTCACCTTTCAGTGTCTTTTCTCATCGACGACATGGACTTCAGCGCCAAGAGTTTCAAGGGTTTGGTCTCCGATGTCGGCACTGTCTTCACGCGAGCCAAACAGGTATTACCACTGATTGTCTCATTGTGTGAACTATTGCTATATTGACCACTGTTTGTGATGACTGACAGTACGCCGAAGAGACGATCGGAACGGCAGAGAAGACCGAATTGGACGCACAGTTTGAGAGTTTGGCCGAAAGGGCCGACAGGACTAAACTGTGGACCGAACGCATCGT